TTATGGCTTTTTCATATTACATACTTTGTCAATAAATATTAGAAAGATTCACTAATATAATTTTCTTTTATTTTTGTTGGTTGTTACAGTTACTCTTTTTAAATGCAATTCATTAAAACTTAGAGAGCTGCACTTAGAGAGTGTTGACTGTAGAGCACGGTTATATTTATAACAAAATTTCTCAAAGAATCCGTCCTCCCATATAAGTATTTTAGTAAAAAAAAAAAATTCAAGTTTTGAAGTATTGTTCTAATTTATTTTGGACTTGCTTACCAGTTTTTTCTTTTCAAACTTCTTCACAAATACAGGATTGTAGCTTGCATAATGATTTTATTGTTACTTCACCATCATCGATCCTTTCATCAACAATTCTTAAAGCACTACGTAAAATGTTCAATTGTTCCTCCCCAGTTAGGGTGGCACAACAAATTTGTCTTTTATCTGTTCAATTTCTGTAGCAGTGTGAATCAAATTTTCATCAGTAAACTGATGATGTACTTCTTGTTCTTCTTCAAGGTTTAGCAAGTCTTCAATTGGTATTAGATTACGAACATGCAATATATTTATTTGCTGTTGGAGTTCCTTAACTGCTAGTTCATCATTTGGATCAAAAGATAGATTTTCTTCCATATCATCAATACCTTCATAAGTAATGGGAGGGATGATAGATACACCATTTTCATCGTAAGGGGATACAACTTTTGTGCAAAACTAACACCTTTTGATCATTTCAGCTAATACTTCACTCCAAGCAATCTTAGTCCATTTTATAGCCTATAATTAATGATATAAGTTAGTAGAAATTTTAATTAATTGCGACTTGAAGCTAGGGTTTAAAATGGGCTGGCCCAAAAAGGCCTATAAGCTTTTTTTAAAAATTAATTCTGGCTATTTTTCATAATACTAGTCACATAATAATTTATTATATAGCCAGTATTATGGAAAATAGCCAAAATTAATTTTTAAAAAAAGCTTGCGGGCCTTTTTGAGCTGGCCCATTTTAAACCCTACTTGAAGCTAACCACATTTTTTATTGATTTATTAAAAAAAAATCAAAAAAGATAATAATTTAACGATTAATGGGTTTAAAAATTGGTGTAGTTGATGCTAAAAAAGGTATCTAAAATATAAATTCTATTAAAACCTCTTTTTTTTTTTTTTTTTTTTTAACAATTTAAAATTTATATTAAAATAGTGTTATTTTCGACTTTAGTTATAACAAATTTTAAATCTACTAGTTTTCAACTTTACCTACAATTGATCGACTTTATATATATCTTTCTCCTCGGCTTCATCGCAATCAATTGCATATTGAAGCTAAATATGACGATAATGAAGTTTAAATGATGCAATGATGCTAGCATTTATAGGTTGAATTTTTGATATCGTATATGGAGGCAACAAAAGCACTTTTACATTAGTAAGGGTGATAGCACTAATAACATACGAGGTGGCACCATCAAGAATAAATAAAACATGACGATTGGATTGTCTTATTTCTTGATCAAATTTTTGTATCCATTCTTGAAAAAACATGGCGGTCATCCATGCTTTTTTATTATTACAGTAATAGAATCCAAGTTCTTCACCCATTTTTTTTTAAAACATCTAGATTTTGTAACATGTCTAATAATGAAGGGCTCAAGTTTGTGGTGCTATCTGTGTTAGCCATAAACGCAATCATGATTCTTGTGCAATTTTTTTTTAACCCTTCAATCTGGTGAGATGCAATTGTACGATCAGGAGTTATAGAATAAAATAGGCCTGTTTCATCCATATTGTAAATATCATGAAGGGGATTTTAATTAGTAGTATTAATAATATCAGGAAGGTTTAGAATGATAGCAGCAACGTCAGCAGAACCACTCTCGCCATGCAACTTAAAATAGTGAAAATTATGCCTTTCTTGAAAAGCCTGCAACCATCCATTCGAAAACTCAGGCTGATCATTTTCAGAAATATTCATTAGGTCCAATAATCACTTACCCTTAGCTTTAATCATATCTCTATTTAAACGTATAGCCCGATATCCACACTGCAGTACCTAGTTCGCCAAAGCAGTATCTAGCTCGGGGAACATAATGACATGATATTTTTTAACCTCAAGGTCACTTGAAGACATTTTACTAAACTCGTCTTTCCTTTTTAAAATATCAGAGATTGTATTTTGGCCAGAGGCTTTTACTAGATTAAATTCATTTTTAGTCCACTCAGCAAGTTCTTTCTGATTAATTGTTGGATTTTTTAGGTAATGGTCACATATCATTTTTCTTTGGTCATTACGCAAATTTCTAGCTAAAATAACTTTATCTTTTTTTTTTTCCTATAATAATGGCAAAATAAATA